GGTCTCGGGGGGCGAAAAAGTCTAGTCGTTCTAATGCGAACACGTACGGCGACGAGGTGTCGTTATGGCAAACTTAGGCAGTCTGGGCAACCGAAAGAATTTCCTCAGGGTCTTACACGGCTAGGGCGATCGTAAGTGTATTTTAACGAGGGGATGGGGCGATCGCGCGACCCCGATCAACCCCGAGAACCCTATTTTAATCGGAGCTCGTCCCTGGTCTCCCGATCGGCAGTGAAGTTCGGCGTGAAGTCGGCGTTAAGTAGCGTCACTAAGTGCGCTTTTGTCCCTATTTACACGGGGGACCGGGACACAGCCCCGACTGAAATACTGGTGAAAGATCAAGTATCTCTATGGCGTGCTACAATAATTTATTACTGGTAGAAAAAAATCTTACAAAACAATGTCGGACGAAATCGTCGCCGGCGATGGAGGTCGCGCGCAGCACGCGGGGCTCAGGCTAGGATCTAGAAGAAATACTCGGTATCCTTCCATTATAATAAATCTCGACCGTAAGTTCTCCTCTCTTTACATATTCGAAATCTCGAGAATCTCTCCCTCGTATCGTCGCGCGATCGATAATCGAAGGATCGATCGAAGGGTGCCGAGGGTGCTGCGCGCGAGGGCCTCATCGTCGACCAGGATTTTTTCGAGCGCGGCATCACAAGAGGTAAGGGTGCCTTATCAAACGAGTAAAAACATCAATAGGGGACGAGATAAGAGGGGGGGGAGTAGAAAAACAATCTCAATCTTAGAAAATATCCATCGTAAACAATCTCAATGCTTTGTCCGGTAAAGACTAGTCGATTACCTCTTTAGTGCCGGAGTATAAACCTGAAACTTAATCGTAGGCGACGGGTACAGAGTAATCGATATCTAAAATCGTTAATCGTTAATTAATTGTAAGGATAGTCTAGCTATGGTACATAACGCAATTATTGAACAATATACTTCGGCCCGGGGGCCGGCGAGCGCCGTTGCCTTCTGATTTCGCCCAAGGGCGATCACAGGGGTAGTTCCGTTCCTAATTCTTATCGTCTCGGACTCTACTCTTCTTATCAGAAGTGGGGTAGAAGGTGCACGAGAAAACGAACTAGTTGAATGTAAGAAGAAAAGATTCTCCGCTGAACCCAGCCAGGTGCTAATATCGATCGATCCCTAGCCGATCTCTATACCAAAATTGTTTCAATCATGAAAATCCAATTTACTTGTGTGGTTTTCATTACAACCCGATACCCTTCACTTGGAATCAAAGAATTCGTTTTATTAAAAAAGACAGAAAATGGACTGTTTGAAATTCGGCACAATTAAATACGTTTGCCACAGTTATCCTGCTATTTCCTGCCACCTCGATTTAATTGTTTCATCCCGACCGCGCGATGGCAATTAATCGAGTGACATTTAAATATCATTTACTTATTCGAGCCATGTTTAATGTCGTTCAACGATTCGTTTTCTCAGCGTACAAAAAGGGTGGCCGGAGGATGCCGAAAGCAGAAGGCATCGAGGCTCATCACCGACCGCTCCGGCGCCTCCGGGAGATCATTTGAAAGGCGATTAAAGTTAANTTACGAGATCACAGTGACGCTTTGACGCGCGGGGATCTCGGGTGGGCGGGCTGTCGTCTTTCGTATCTGCATCTCCGCCGCGATTTCCCAATTTTTCTTTTTTCTTTCTTTATTCTATTCCAAGTGAGAATCCTTCGTGGGGTCCATTTTTAATTTTCTCCCGACCGACCGGACGTTCCGATCCTCCCAACGGGCCCCACTCTGGAAATCGCGGGTCCGGAGAGCGCGGCTTCCGCTTCCGGTTCCCCGGCCGTCCGCGCGCGGGAGGAAAGAAAAGGCGAGAGGAAAAGAAAGAAGAAAAATAATAATAAAGTCTCGAAAGAAAAGGCAGAGAAAAAAAGTCACACATCCCTCTTTCCCCCCGGCGGCCGATCGGGGAACCGGAAGTACCTGGCACAGCCTGCCCCCCACGATCCACAAAGTCACAGTTACAGCTTATGTCCCTCCTCTCCACTCTTCCACTTTCCTCTCGACATCCTCGAAACTCTGTCAACTCCCGATGACAGAAAATCCGACTCCTCTCCTCCGACTCGTTCCGTCCGCCTCGACTACGCGAAACAATATTCTCTCTCTCTCCTCTCTCTCCCTCGGTATCTCCGAAATATACCATTTAAAATATATATATATATCATCCATTATATATATATTTATATATATACTTCTTTATCATTGTTACTCGGTAATATTACATTCTCAAATATGGCTGACTATGCTATAAAGATGCTCCTACTGCTGTACTGCTCTATGACGAAGTAAACAAATGTTAAATAAAAAAATAAAAAAAAAATAGTAAAGAAACAAACAATCAAATGGTCATTACTGTATACTCGGTGTCTCGAGAAGCTGCTATATATGTACATGCGCTCTGTTTTCTCCCTCTTCAGGTGCGTTCGGTTTTCTCGATACGAGTCCTTTTTCTCCCTTCTCTATTTTTCTCCCATTCCCGAGTCTTTCCGCCATTTCCTCTCGTCCTGCCCGATTCCGGGGCCTTAAAAAGGTCGCTCAAGAAATCGGCAGAAAAATATTCGGCCTCCGCCATTAGGCCGGTACTCTAAGGGGCGCGTGTGCGAGGAAGGGATGCATCCGACTAAGGAGACCCCAGGGGACGTCCCGGCCTTCCTTTTGGGGCAACCACCCCCAGCCGGGACTTCTCTGCTGGGGGTCTTCCTGGGGATCTACGTCCCGGGGAACCCTCGGTCGACGACACCTGCTCGTAAGAGTGTTCCTCGCGGAGGAGGGACGATGTCGGAGCAAGGTGGGTGTCAAGTGATACGAATGCAAAAGGGGGAGAACGAGAAGGAGGGAAATGGCTAAGGAAGGGGACTGAAAGCCTCCGAGGGTTCCCGTGCATTTTTAGCGTCCTGGGAGAGATCTCGATGGCAGTGAAATTCAAGTGACGCGGCCGACTGCGCGGAAGAGCACAAAACGCGGCCATCTTTTATTTGCATAAATGCATGCCGAATTTGCCGAGTAAATACTGCGAGGCATGCGCCGAAAAAGTCGGGCAAACCCTAAGGATGTAATAATGCCTTAGTCGATACAAAGCTGCGTTTCTCGGTAAGGTAGATAGGCGTTTCGCGCGATCAAAATGGCGGCCGCGCTATCAAAAGGGTAGCGTAGAGAATACTGTCCATGGCTTTATGACGAATTAAAAAAGAACTTAAAGGCAGTAAAGATGAGAGTTTGGTCGAATTCCACATTTTGATGGGTCAGTCGTCGTTTGCCTCGCGTTTTTCGTTCCATGCTCTTCGGCGCGTCTTTCGTCGTCCATCGGGACTGGATTTTCCGGCGACCATAAGACGCTCTAAAATTTTCCCCGGGTCGAAGGTCACGAATGCACCGAAAATCCGTCACACACGCGCATTAATTAATTTCAGACTTACTAAAGTTCCTAAGGGATTGTGGAGGTTGACGGAGAAACTAATAGCGAAGAAAAAACAGGAGGAAAGAAAAAGCGGCGAGGGAGAGCCCGAAAAGGGGAACAGGGAGCGAGAGAGAGAAAGAGAGAGAGAAGGACGGCAGAACGAGGGGAGTCGAAAGAGCAGCGAGATGAGAAGAACGGAAACGACAAGAGAAAGAAACGGAAGAACGTAGAACAGGAACAGGGCAGTAGAAATTAGAAGAGAAACACAAAGGAATGACGCCTCTTCCAAAGTGCTAAAGCGTCCCACTGGAGGGCGCCACTAGAGCTAAGCTACCGGAGATCATTTGAAAACTGTCCACGGGCCTCGCAGCGAGCCAATCAGATGCTGCGATCCTCGACCTATCAATTATCTAGTTTAATTACTTTACTCAACTTATTACTGATTTATTACTTTAGGTAATTCTTTTATACAATCACGTCGCTCCTCCTCCTCTCTCTTTCCCGCCTTCCCTCGGCCTATATTTCTACCCTCGTCCCTGACTTTCTCTCGTTTCTCTTTGTTTTTGGACGTACACCCTCCTCTCTCTATGTACAACGCATCCCATCGTACGCAATCAACCGTCAGACGGATGCGAACGGGCCGCGGGGTGTCGCGGGCATCGAACGATCGACAATTACGTCCAAGAAAGCGAATACAAGAACCTAACCCCACCCCCGACAAATAGTGTCTTATCGAGAAATCTTCGATTCGTCACAGAAATGCCTCAAAAACACCCTCCAAGGACTCGCGAGAATCGGCCTCTCGGCATCACCTGGCGGCGACTCGCGGAACCTCAACTTTGTCCGCGAACACCCCGCGAGTCGCGGAATGAAAGGAAAATGTTTCCTGAGCACAGGTCGCGCTCTATCTACAAAACGGTTTAACGCTAAAAGGGAGCAGATACTAAACAAACAATAAGAAGAAAAAAAAATATAGAAAAAAGACACGCGTCCATCTTAGTATCATACCCCCCCGGATTCACTATTAAAGACGCGCCATCGAAAGACTCCCTCTCCTCCCTCCCGCCTAGTCGCTACAAGATTGGGTTTATTTAATTCTCTTTACGTTATTCCTTAATGAGATCATCATTTGATTATTCGGTTTAGTCCTCTTTGGATCTCGTCCTTAGCCCCTCTCTCTCTCTCGCTCTCTCTCTCTCTGCCACTCCGTCTTTCTCTCTCCCGTCATCCAGCCCTGATCCCAGATCCCGAACGCAGTCGAGGAGATCGAAAGAAAACAGCGACCGCCCCTTGCCTCTCGACCAGGGGGTGGGTCGCGAAGCGGAGGACCCTCCAGAGGCGACCAGAGGATCGTGGAAGCGCGGACCGAGGCCGACTCCCTCCGGGGTGTCCTTCCACGATCCTTACCGCGCGGCTCCTGGGACCAAAATGGCGCGCGCCCTGCGCGGAGCGCCGAGTCCTCGCGGGGGACGCGCTCCCTGCCGGGGCTCCCGGCCGACTGCGCCCTCCGGCGGCGGCGAGGCGCTTTTATACTGGCGCGCCTCCCCCCGCCTGCGCGCGCCGCGCGCTCGGCCAATCGCAGGCTCGCTCTTATGGCATCGTATCAAGGATGATCCCGTAATACCTCCTCTATCGGAGACGCGAGACGAGCCTCCATCCCAGGTATAGCGCCACCGTCGTCCACAGGGTTTCTCGCAGAGGCGCCGGCAACAGGAACGAGAAGAAGCTGTCGGCTGCCGATGACGTCGACCCGATGAACGGTAGTCGGGATTTCTCGACCTCGGCACCCTGGAGCAGAAATCAGAAGCCGTTGCGTTACTCATAGTCGAGAGACATCCGGTAAAGAGGCTCCTCAGGAACCCCAGCATCCCCAGGATAATGAAGAGCGTTCCGTGCCGGATCGGCAATATTTCAAGGGGATCGCATTAAATGCCCCGTAAACAGCGGGTGTAGACGTTATTTGCCATTGTTATCAAGAGATGATAAGTGCTCCTACGCTACGTTCGGCTCTTCGCCCCCACCTCGCGGAGTCGCGCGCAAAGGGCGGGTGAAGTAAGGAGAGGTTACGTCCGCTAATTGGAATTGTTCTAATTGGACCGAATTACCGAGCTCGCCCTCGACTCGCGACCCGATCTCGGAGGGACCCTCGATCTTTGCTCTCTTCTTCTCATTGTCTCGACCAACTTTCGCCAGACTTGCCGAGTCTCTTTGGACTTTTTACCTTGAGCCGTGCCAAGGGCTAATCCGCGACTCGAGAGAAGGAAGCGAGAGGGGGATGCGCAATTGCAACTTCGCCCTCGTTGGCGGTGCACTTGGTCACGGTGCACTTAGCCTTCGGTCGGCAGGGTCGGGATTGTTTATCGCGTACCCGTCACGAATTGTTGCGTCTCGCGCTTTTATATATATATATATATTCTATTTTTATTCATGATGTCGATCGCGGCGAGGAATTCCGACCCCGTGACAGGGCGTAGGAAACAGTTTCGCAAGGGAAAGCGCGAATTGGGGGGAGGAAGTGCACCCCTCTCAGGATCGAGTTCACCCCTCGCACTCATCGGGGACATACTTCACCCCGACCACCCCGACGTGTCGCGACAAAACCGCGCAGCGTTCGCATATCCCACGAACGAGCCGCCAACAATCCCCGAGGTCCTTTGTTGTATCGGAGCCGTCTGACCCCATAGCCGACTTCCGATTCCCGTTTCGTCTTAATCCACCGGCTCGATATAATAAACGCGAGGAGGGAGGTCCCCAATCAAGGGAGGAGGCCTTTATGGCCGGCAATAATATCTGCTCGTCGCGTTTCCATTTCACCCCCGTCTCTCCCCACATGCCCCAATGCGCCCTCGCCCCGGCAAACATTCGGTCGGATCCCACAGAGAGCGGCGCGAGAGGAGAGATTATCACCGCTACGGGGAAAAAAGCGTCACATTAAGGGAGAATTATGGGGCGGACGGGTCGGACTCGTGGGAGGCTCTCGTTGTCAATTAACAGTGTATCCTCCACCTTTCTAATATTCTTCCCCTCCCCCATTGTCGCCACGACCCTCGGTTGTCCATCCCTCGGGGGAGGCGATGCGTTAGATCGAGAAAACGGTCACCGAAGCGGTCAATCAAACTCGACTTCGATCCCCTCCTCCCTTTCCCCTCCGTTCCTAACCTCCTCCCAAAATTACTCGTATCCGCGATTAATCTCCGGTTTCTCCTTTCCCCGTCCCGGTACGATTCAATTAAACCGAGGAGTCGATTAAGTACGCGATCGACTGTCGACACGTATGTGTCGCGACTCGCCGCACGCGCGCGCGTCCATGTGCGCGCGTGCGCGATCGCCGCGGGAATGAGACCCGAGCGCGAGGCGCGCGCCCGCATAGCCTCGCGCCGGTTGCGCGCGCAGCTCGGCGACAAGCGGCAGCGAGCGGTGATTGGCCGAGGCCGGCGGTTCCTCTTTCCGGCAGCCCTTCGAGTCTGCGCGCAAGCCAATCCCGGGCAGTCGCCCGCGCGCACTCGGCGAGTGCGCAGGGCTCCTGCGAGGTAAGAGGGGGCCCGATAACGCCCGGAATAATTGGTGGCCGTTTCTTCTCGGTGGCCGCAAGTCCACTTAACTTTCACCTAACGAGGGATGTGGCCGTTTACCGGTTACCTGCGCACTGGCGACTCGCGTGCACGCAAACCCTCGTCCCATCGATCAATTTCGATAGTTTCTCCTGAATTCGCGAGGTAAACGGAATTGCAATTCCTCGAGTCTGTACGCGACGTACCTCCGATAACTCGAGTACCTCTCTCTAATTCTCTCATTATTTCCCCCCCATTTTCGGGGCTCGCAGAGCCAACCTGGAGGGGGACAGGGGAGGGCAGGGTGGAGCTGAAAGAAGGTCGTTTACACCGGACGAGTGGAGGTTCCTCCTCGATTCGAGAGGAGCAGAGAAAAGAAGAGGACCTTGGGGTTTATCAGGGGGGGAGCAGGGGGGGGCGAGCTAATGAGAGGAGTCGAGCTCGACGAACCTCGCCGAGGTAAAAGCTCGAGCCTAAGTCTCCTCCTTCGCTCTCGGCCCTCCTCGGAGGTTAGTCAGCATCCTCGAACGGATCTTCCCGCGATCTAAGATTCCCTCGATTTCACGGGGTCCTTCGCCTCCCCCTCCCTTAATTACGCGTACTTAACGCCATAATTAGACGCCCGGCGATCCGATCGCACTTGGGATCGTGCCTTTAAAGCGGATCAACGGCAGTCGGATAAGGGGAGGGCTTTCCTTCCTTTCCTACGGCTCTCCCAGCAAACAAGGGATGCTGCCTTATTGGTCCAGACTGGGGGATGAGACGCCGTGGCTCGATATATACACCCCGTAGGAACCGACGCGACGGTAAATTAGGAGGGGGCACTCTACCGTAACTTTTTCCCCGATCCGAGTCTCGATTGAAATAAGTGCAAGGGATTACGCTCGAAGGGGTGCGGATACTTAAAGGAGTCCAATTTCCCGAAATAACGCGGATGAGTAAGACCAGGGAGTCACGTTTCGCGATACATATTTGATCACGCCAGCCGAGGCGTTCCTATGAAGTATGACGCGAGAAACTAGTTGGGGAGTACTAGACACGTCTTAGGGCGGATATACCCGGGGGCCGATATTTATTGCACCCCCGAGACCCAGGGGTGATAACTAAATTCGCGTTTATGGCCTCGAGTTCGCGCCCTCTCGGCTTGTCCCACGGCCACCTTCGAGTCCCATCTTCATGACGTACTTCCCCAAGGATGATGGGGGTGAGACCGTCTAGCCGCAGATTCATGGTGGACAACGAGTATAGTCTTGGAGAGTGGTAATATCGAGTGGGCGAGATTCCTCGTTCCGATTATGACCTCGAGTGCGGATAAGAGCTATCCGACGTCACCACGCGGGTTATCTACGACCCCCGTGGGGGAGAATTCCGAGAGATTACCCCCGAGCATCTCCAAGAAACTGACCCCCGGAGGAAACTCGCGAGATCCCTGGAGATCCTTGGAAAGCTCCAGGAGAAAATAGCCAAGAGTCTTTGAGAATCACCCTTGAAGGTTCCTCGAAGCGTCTCTCAAGAGTCTCAAGAAAATCTGCGACCTTCGTTTATTTTGGGAAAAAAAAAAAGAAAAACCAAATCCACGTTTCCAATAAATTCTGATGCTCTTGGAAAGATCTCAAGATTTCCAAGAGAATCTACTTGGAAATAGGAAGAACCGACGGGGTATATGTACTTTGAAAAAATTCCATGAAAATCTACCTTCGCGGAATTTTAGAAAATCGCTAGTCCTCACCTTGGTATGACTGGCGTGGAAGTCGTCGGCGATGTTCCTGAGGTTGGACCCGATGCTGGCCCACTCCCTCTCTATAGCCGTGGGGGGTTGGCCGCAGCAGGCGTTCATCCTCTCCTTCTCCTGGACAGAGCACTCCGAGGTCAGCCTGCGCCTCCGTGGCCGCGGCCTGGGGATCGGGACGGGCACGCTGGCCTCGGGGAACTGGAAGGCCGCGTCCCTCGTCGGACTGCTGGGGGCGGAGGCGGTCACCAGGGGGGTCGGAGTCGGGAGCTGCTCCACGGCGGACAGCACCAGGTCCGGGAGCGGCAGCCGGGACAGGTCCGAGTCGATCAGGACCACCGGGTGCTCCCGGAAACCCGGCATGTCGCCCGACCGCCGAGGCAGCCGGTCTGTGGACAGAACATGGTCGCAACCATTAGACGTCGAGTCGGCATCTCCTACCTCGGTCTCGAAACTCCTGGGGACAAATCCTACGAAACGACCCAAGAAAGCGCAAAGACACAAATTCGGATCCCTAAACGAAATCCCGAAGGCAACTGGTATTAATTAATTTTAGAAAGCGTCCCGGTTGAATTAACGAAATTAAAGAAAAGTCGACCGAAGTGTTTCGGTTAAATCGTCCTTCGGTGAACTTTAGGACATTTTTATTTCAGAACGTGTTCGATGAATGCACCGAATTATTTTTAATATTTGGAGCGATGTGGCTCAATGTTTGGGATGATCGAGCGAGAGTTATTAACCAAAGAATTTAGTTACGGGGAATAATGTGGAGTATTTGGCCGTCCAGGTAATAACCGTATTCCGTGGTTAAGTCCCGAGGAGAAGAGTCTCCGGCGGTTTCAGGGAACCCATCGGAAAATGGCCCTCAAATTACCGGCATGACTAGTCCCGCGGCACCGAATCCCGGGGTAAATAGTTCGGCGAAGCCGGCCTCCCTCGAAAAGGCGGCGAAACGGACACTTCTCACGGAAGGGCCCGAGAAAAAGGGGCCATATTTGTTTTCCCGTAATCGAGGCCGGAGGCTGCGGCCGGTGCGTGTCGGTGGATGATTACGAGGAACGGCGGTAGCTCCTCCGCGAGTGCATCGTTTACAAGCAGCGTTTATCTCGACGATAAAGACCCGTTGTGTGTCACCGTCCATTGGCCGGGGGCCCGAGGTTTTATCCGTGACATAACCCCGCGATAACCGCGTCGATCCGCGAATCGCGCCGGCCGGCCGATTCTACGCGTGCGCAATTGAGGGGCCAAGCCGGGAATTGACCTACTAGCCGTTACTAGAATTATCGCTCATCCTCAAAACGTCCCCGGCGAAAACGCCCTCGCAATTGTCCCCACTTTAACCCCTCGGCTCGACGCCGTCGGCGGGAAATTTCATTTAACGAAATCTTGTAACCGCGCCTAGGGTTCCGCGAATCGCGCGGCTACCGCTCGACGCTCGATTCCTGGAGATCCATTATTTATAACCGCTCCCAGGGGGTTTAATCTCGGACAATAATAACACCGCCGATAGGCCGTTATCGTCATCCCCGGCGTTCTCAGGCACGGATGTAAGCTCGAGTGCACGTCGAATCGCTGGCGAGTTTCCAGGAATCGAACGTTTGTAAAACTCGAAATTAGTTTCGCGCAACGTCCACGCGGCCGCGGGGATTTCCTGGCTTGGAAGAACCACCGACCCGAGATAACTCGATCTAAAAATTGAATAATTGTTCGCGGAGAATACTACATTGTCTCCTGGCATGCAGATACCGAGCTCCGGGGGTAAACTCGCGAGTTGATTGCGGACTTAAGTGACAAATGACAAATCGTTAAAGGCCAGAAATAAGGCGCAGTAATTCGCGCGTGATTCAACGCCGATATGTCGCGAGCGCCAACCACGTGCGAGCGTATCCTAAAGCAGCTGAGTTGCATTAATGGAAAAAAGAAAAAAGAAGAAAAAAAAAAAATAATGCGCAGTTGGCAGAAAGTGCAGGCGATCCTCGAGGTGCCCAGTGATTGCGGTTTAATATCCTACTTAGGAATAAATATTCACCGATAATAAATTCAGTGAAACGGGTAACCGGCGTCTGAGCACCGTTCTCTCGGATTTTAAACCGCGATTATGTGTAGGGGACGTGCAAGACCAATTTCAACCCAACATCTACATACAATGACCTTTTCACTTTCCCTTACGCAAAGCGACAATTTCTCGTAGGTGTACGAGTTTTCCGTCCCACATGTGCCGATTGAAATTCCCGGCCCGATTCCCACATTAATCGTGAAAATCTTTTCGCAATCCCTTAAACTCGAGTAAATCTTCGATTCGAAGCCACGCATAGATAACGAAGACAGGTTCGCTCTGCAGGATCTTTTTGCTTTTTTTTTCTTGTCATTTATACTGGAAGTGGAGGAACCCGATTTCCAAGATGGCCGACGAGACGCCGCGCCCGCTCGTTCGGAAACGTTCGCTTAGCCGCGTGTATCTATCTGTTTGTTAAACGTGCGATATCGCAAGCCACGGTAGACTGCCTGTCTCGTCTCTCTGTGCACGGTTATCTGTCGCACACCAAGATGGCGTTAATACATCCAGATAATTCGCTATCGTGCGTGTCTCCGGATTCCTGGGCGGACTTGCTCCGCGCGCGAGTTCCTCGTCAACGGCGACCTATTTCGATCGTCGTGCCCAGAAAGGCGTATATTAATATCCCCCATAAACCCCGCTCCTAATCATCGGGCGAAAATTTCAAGAACCCTGAAATCATAATTTCTTCCCTTCCCTTGAAAAATCTTAAATTTTCAGATCTCCAATTTTGCGGTTTTCAGTGCGAATTTTAAGAAAAAGTTATCCCGATGGATGTCGATCGATAGCTCATTCGATGACAAGATTCAGGAAGATGTCAATCAGGACCGCGGAGGCGCGTCGATTTTCCAGATTTCGCCGCGACGCGACGACGCGACGACGCGCCGCGCCGACGTGCGTCGATTGTCCCATTGTTCGGCTCACGCGGCGGCATCCTTGACATTTCAGAGAGCGGACTCTCTTTCACTTGTGCAACTTTTGCCCCGTCGTCACCTGCATCGATCAGCGCACCTATCTCGAAATCGCGACGGGGAGGCACGCTGCAGCGAATTCGCAGAATCTGATCAGCAGGATCGAAGCTCTCTCTCTCTCTCTCTCTATCTCCCCAGGGTCCCTTTTCAAGAACCTGCCCGAGTCTCGCAAGATGGTCATTTTTCCAAGCAAAGCTACCGATTACCACACCGACAGCGATCCTTGCATCGGTTTCCTCGTAATTGTCAAGCAAGCTCAAGTAAACTCGCGGCTGAAGCGAGCGGGATTACTCCGGAAAAAAAAAGGAAAAAAAAAACCAAAGGAATATATCATTAAACAGCACGAACAAAAACGTTCATACATCAAGGAACAACAATTTCACTCGAATACCCTGAAATAATAATATCCCGAGGAAACGTTCCGTCGAATTTATTCCAATTTTTTCTTCCTTGTCAAATACCTATTCTTCGAATTACCAAAATATTTCCGTGGCACCGTTCAAAGAAATATTCCTCAGCTTCAAGGTTCCTTTCTCGCTGTAGAAAATCGTTCCAACACGTAGCGTTCTCCACTAGGAATTTTCCGGTCGGCGAAGTCGAGTCCTTTCAGCCCAATTAACGCATCGCGCGCATCCCCCCTCCAGGACGAAGATCCTCGAAGGGATCCCATGGGTCCTCCGAGCCCAACAAACCGTGTCACCACCTCCCGGCAGGCCAGGAATCGGTCTCAAAAAAAGGCCGATATCAGGGGCACCCGCGGCATTCTGTCGGGACATCAAAGGGTTACCAGGCGTCCTATCGAGGACATTTTGAAATCTAAACGAGCGCACCCTGGCGCAGCATCGAGCCCGCCGTTTGATCTCGCCGACGACAATAGTAACGAATCGGTCAGGAAGCGGCGGAGAGGGTTAGTCGTAGACTCCTCTCGAGGTCCCCAAACAGAATCGGGATTCGCCGATCGAAGGACCCAACCCAGTCCTACCGAGGACTCGACGTGTGCACGTACACGGCCGCGAGGAACGTGCAAAAAGGAGCGCGATAAAAGCCCGGGGCGAGCAAAAAGTGCAGCGCGCACGTGGCCAACACCCGCATGCACTTGGAGTTTATGCGCTTTATATACTCGCCGGTTATGCCCTCCTCCTCGTGGGGGGGGGAGGGGGAGGGGGGGAAAGGGGACCGAGAGAGAGGGACATGAGCGCACACGTGACTCACATGGAACACCCTTTGTACATGGGCGTAATGCAACTTGTTACAGTATATGTAACGGAGCGACTCTATAAGCGAGCCGTGCGACGTGCAGACGTCCGAAGGCTGAGCTGCAGCGAGCTGCACAAAGAACCCCTCTCAAGGCCGCGAGAACTGCACGCGAGCGAGTGCACGCTCCTCGATGTGCGCCTCCCCCTCCTGCCCCCTGCGTGTGTGCGTGGACACCCGTCTAAGTAGGTGTGCGCCTTCTCCCGTACGTGTGCGTACGTGCTCCCGGGCGAGTACGCGATATTTCGCGCGTGCACACGCGGGTGCAGTTTGCACGACCCTGGCCCTAAGTGCGCTCGCACATACAAGCACCGCTGCGTGTCTCATGCCTTGGTTTGCTCGTGTAAGCGGGCTGTTTCTTTCTTCTTTTTTTTCTTTATTTCTTTCTCTTTTTTTTTTTATCGCGCCTCTCGGTGTTTTGCCACTTTTCCAGGACAATGCGCGAGTCGCGCCGATGGGGCTCCGCGCGCTGCGCGCTTGACCGCCGACATGGCCGGAAGAGGACTCGACACGCCTCTTGGCTCCCTGTGGGGATTCGCATTTCTTTTTTAGAGGGGTTTGACCCGTTGATGCCGATCTGCGGAGGAAATTGCGCGTGCCGGAGGCGTGGAGTGGAGAGGTCGGGCGTTTTGATAGGTTTCGGTTTGTTTGATAGGTTACACACTTTTTGACTGATTCTCCCAGACTTTGGAGGGTTTTGGACAGATTTTGGAAGATTTTGGCAGATTTTGGCAGATTTTGGCAGATTTTGGCAGATTCAGGAAAATTTTTGCAAGACTTTTAAGAGCGCTTTGGGAAGCGTCTCGAGAGCCGCTCTCGCCGCGCCGCCATATAAGCGCGTCCGCTCGCATTCCGCCCACCGAAATTCGGTGGACAGGTAATAATCATGATTATCGGGCCTCGATCGCTTCCACGAAAGCAATCGACCCCTCCACGTTTTATTGGGGAAACGATTTAAATTGTAAATCGAGCCAGGCCTGGAGAGCTTCCCCGGCCGGTTCGCCGGCCGGATCCGCGCCGTCAAGGAAACGCCTTTTCGTGGATACTTTTTTTTTTTTTTCCTTTTCGATCCTCGATCGCGAGGCAACCATGTCTGGTCGCCAAATAC